AGGATGAGCTTCGGGGAGCGCGGGAGGCGCTCACCTTGGCCAGGGCCTGATAGGCTGCCGGGCGGCAGGGCTTGCGGCAGGTAGAGCGCCGTGTGCCGATCAGCTGGGCAGGGGCTGGAACAGGTGCACGTGGTAGAGGATGGTCTCGAGTCGGCGTAGAGTCGCTGTGGAACAGGCAGCTGCGAGGTGTAGAGTCCCTTGCATATAGCTGGCGCTCGGTAGGTCGATGGTTCTGGGAGCGGTAGCCGGGGAGCGATCAGCCCTGCTGCGAACCCAACCCCCGGCGGCTCCCGCGCCCGCAGAGCTCCCTTGAGGGTGTTTATGAAACAGACCGGGAGTCTCGCGCCTGTCATCCGGCAACTCAGGATGGAGGAGCCGAGGCGGGAGATCGAGCTCGAGGTCGGGTTGGCCAGCTCATTTCTTTCTATTTTTTTTTTTTTTTAGTAAGAGACGGGGTCCTCGCTTCGAGCTCAGGCTGGCCTCCACTTCCTGACCTAGACCTGATCCTCCGCTCCTCCGGCATCCCTGCCGAGTAGCTGGGACTCCAGGAATGCGCCCTCTACGCCGCGCTCGTTTCTTTCTTTCTTTCTTTCATTTTTTTTTTTTTGAGAGCAGATCTCACTCTGTGTTGTTTGCCAGGCTAGAGTGAGCGCCGTGGCGTCAGCCCTCCGCTCACAGCAGCCTTCAACTCCTGGCCTCAAGCGATCCTCCTGCCTCCAGGCCTTCCCTCCCGAGTAGGCTGGGACCTCCAGCATGCGCCACCTACCGTTTTTTCTATGTATATCTATTGGCCGATTAATTTCCTTCTATTTTCATTAGTAGAGACCGGGTCTTCGCTCTTGCTCAGGCTGGCCTCCAACTCCCTGGACCTTCGAGCTATTCCTCCTCCTCGGCCTCCCAGAGATGCTGTGGATGAACAGGCCGTGAGCCTCCCGCGGCCCCGGCTTCTTTCTTTTTTTTTTTTTTTAGTAGAGGTCTCGCTCCTCGCCGGCCTCGACATCCTGACTCCAGCTATCCTCCTCCTGCCCCTCCGCTGAGTAGCTGGGACTCCAGCGCCCTCCACCACGCCCTGCTCGCGTTTTCCAATCTGTGTAATATTTATAGTTGCTGTCCGGCCTCATTTCTTTCTATTTCTTTTTTAGTAGAGGCGGACGCCTCGCTCTTGCTCAGCACGGGTCGACCTCCTAACTTCCAGGCGATGCCTCCCTGCTCGGCTCTCCTCTCCAAGAGTGCTGGGATGACAGGGCGTGACCTACCGGCGCCCGGCCCTATTTCTATTTTTTTTTTTTTTTTAGTATAGGTCTCAGGCTCCCGACCGCCTCACCTCCTGACCTCTCGGTCGATCCTCCCTCCTCGGCCTCCCTGAGTGCCGGGACGACATTTATGAGCCTCGCTGCCGCGGCACAGAACACAGGGACAAGCCCGCCACCAGAACCCGAGGCATCGGAGGGACCCACAAGGAGGGCGGGCCAGCGTTCCCTTCTCTCCTCCTCTCTCTCTGTCTGCGTTTAAGCGTCTCGGCCTCCGCGGCTCCCGCGGGCCCTCCTCACCGGTCTGGGTGGCTGCTCCCGAGAGCAGCCTGCGCAGGCCCTGCTCGGCCAGGCCCTCGAGCACGAACAGGTGCAGCCTGCCGTCCAGCAGGTGGAAGCCCGTCAGCACGTCCAGCTGCGGCCGGTCGTGGATCTTGACGCGGGTCTTGAAGGCCGACAGGATCTGCTGCACGCTGCGGGCCGGGTAGGCCTCCAGGTCCAGCGCCCGGGCGTTGATGGCCGTCACGTCCTGCAGGATCCCGTGCAGGACGGCCAGCCTCCGGAAGCCGAAGGCGAACACGATCCGGCCGAACCGGGTGGCGGAGGCGGGGAGGCCCGAGGTGGAGGCCGCGGAGGCCGGGCAGGGAGGCCCGGCGGCGGCGGAGGCCGAGGCGGTCAGGGAGGCCGGCGGGGCCCCGGGCCTCAGGGGGACGGCCAGGTCCACCCGGAGCTTGAGGGTGGCGTGGGCCTCGATGTAGTGGCCGGGGGGCATGGGGCCGTGGTGGGCGCCGTCCGGGGGCAGCCTCCGGCCTCGCCCGGCCTCCCCGCCTCCCCCCGTGCCGGGAGGGGGGCCCGCCTCGCAGGTGTGGATGGGCACGGCCAGGTTCAGGTAGCGGTGGCCAAGCAGGAGGTCCGCCAGGCTGACCCGGGCTACCCCGTAGGGGTCCCACATGGCGTCCTGGGACTGGAAGGGGTTGGCCTCGGTCTCCCGGGTGGAGGCCAGCCTCTGGCTGTTGAGGTAGGGGTCCAGGGGGTCGTCCCCGAACAGGGCGGGCTTCCGGGAGCATTCCTCCGAGCGCCGGTCCCGGTCGTGGACCTCCACCAGAAGAGGGGGTCCCTCCAGGTACTCCCGGAGGTCGCGGGGGGACACGGCCCCCAGGAAGATGACGTTGATGTCCTGGAAGTGCACGTGGGACGCGTGGGGCTGGCCCTCGGTGCGGTGCACGGGTGTGGCGTGGAACTGGTACTTGCAGTAGACGGGCACGCACAGCCGCTGCAGAAACGGGGTGCGGGGGGAGGGGGGAGAGGGACGGGGGGGGGGTCTCACCACCCGCACGGCCACCCCGGCAGAATTCGGGGGGGGACCCTGACGCCCAGCGCCGGGTCTCGCCCGAAAAACCAGCCCGTCAGCGGGACGGCCGAGCATCTGAGCCGTCAGAGCCCCCCGACCCCGAAAACCGGCCCTATAGAGGGACGTCCGAGCATTTGAGCCGTCAGAGCCCCCCGACCCCAAAAACCGGCCCTATAGAGGGATGTCTGAGCATTTGAGCCGTCAGAACCCCCCAACCCCGAAAATCGGCCCCTTAGTGGGACGTCTGAGCATTTGAGCCGTCAAAGCCCCCCGACCCCCAAAATCAGCCCCTTAGCGGGACGTCAGGGCATTTGAGCCGTCAAAGCCCCCCGACCCCGAAAACCAGCCCTATAGAGGGATGTCTGAGCATTTGAGCTGTCAGAGCCCCCCGACCCCAAAATCAGCCCCATAGCGGGATGTCCAAGCATTTGAGCCGTCAAAGCCCCCCGACCCCGAAAATCAGCCCCTTAGTGGGACATCCAAGCATTTGAGCCGTCAAAGCCCCCGAACCCCGAAAATCAGCCCCTTAGCGGGACGTCTGATCATTTGAGCCGACAGAGCCCCCCGACCCGCAAAATCAGCCCCATAGCGGGACGTCCGAGCATTTGAGCCGTCAGAGCCCCCCGACCCCGAAAACCGGCCCCTTAGTGGGACGTCTGAGCATTTGAGCAGTCAGAGCCCCCCCCCACCCCGAAAATTGGCCCCTTAGCGGGACGTCTGAGCATTTGAGCCGTCAGAGCCCCCCGACCCCAAAAATTAGCCCCATAGCGGGACGTCCGAGCATTTGAGCCGTCAGAGCCCCCCGACCCCGAAAATCAGCCCCTCGGCGGGACGTCCGAGCATTTGAGCCGTCAGAGCCCCCCGACCCCAAAAACCAGCCCTACAGAGGGACGTCCGAGCATTTGAGCCGTCAGAGCCCCCCGACCCTGAAAATCAGCCCCTTAGTGGGACGTCCAAGCATTTGAGCCGTCAAAGCCCGACCCCAAAAACCGGCCCTATAGAGGGACATCTGAGCATTTGAGCCGTCAAAGCCCCCCGACCCCGAAAACCAGCCCCTTAGCGGGACGTCTGAGCATTTGAGCCGTTAGAGCCCCTTGAACCCCCAAAATCAGCCCCTCAGCGGGACGTCTGAGCGTTTGAGCCGTCAAAGCCCGACCCCGAAAATGCGCCCTTAGCAACGGTTGCCGTGGTTACGCGGCACAAAGTCTGCATGGCGACCGGCGGGCTTGG